GACTGTTTTGAATTATACTATGTTATAATTGTGAATAAAAATTTTGTAATTGAATAATTAATTAAAATAGATAGATAATGATATAAGGTATGTTTAGAATTGTTATAAATTATTATAATTGTAACTATAGTTATAATTGTAATTATAATTATATCTGTGACTGTTTTGAATTATACTATGTTATAATTGTGATTAAATTTATTTTGGTGTTTAGTTAATTTTTTTAAAAGTATTATGAATGAAATATAATAAATTTATTAATTATTAATTAAAATTTAAAAATATTATATGGTGCATAATTATTAAAATAAATAATATTTACTACTTCTTAATAATTTAAGTTTTTTAGATTTATTATAATGGGTTTTTTTTTAGTTTTACGGGAGAGCAACTTATAAAGAGGGAATGAGTCTTTAATTTTTTTTATAAAATCTTTAAATAAATAAGAGGTTAAGTTTAAATAAAATATTATAAATTATGATATAATTAAATTAAATGAAATTGAGTTTTAATGAGTAATTTTGTAATTGCATTAAATATTATGTATTGTTCATGAAAATCACAACAAAAAAACTCAAAAGTAAGGTTTATAACTTTATATATATATAATTATTGTAGATGTATTGTAATTTGTTGTGGCTTTCTATAGTTTATAAAAAAATTAGTTTGAAAAAAAAATTAAATACACATATTTAAAAATATTATACAACTATAAAAAAATTCAACTATAATGCCAAATGCACTCATAATTAAAGTAAAAAAATATTTATTTTATCTTAAAAAAATAATTAACTCAAAATAAATTTAAAATAAAAAATAACTGTTATTTTAGAAAAAAGGAGAATATATTGATTCGAGACAGCAAAATTAAAGAAAAGGGACAACAAATATTTTCAATAAGAGAAAACGATAGCATGAGTTTTTTTTTTTTTTTAATAAAATTTTTTTGAATCAAAGCATCTTTGTCAAAATCTTATGCCATGTGGATTGATTAGTGACTAATCACAAAGAGTGCTGCTGATATTTCAAATCTCATGAGCTACTAAGTAAATATATTTAATATTTTACTAACAATTAAGGTTAGAATCATGACTTATTATATTACAATTCTCCATCTTCCACCTCAAATTATACTTGTAAAAAAAAAAGAAAAAGAAAAAAGGAGTGTTGCTATCATCTTTCAATTTCGAATAAAGAATTATTTTTTGTTTTTTAGAAAAAAAAAAAAAGGTGAGGGACCTGGAAAACAAATTTACTCTCTTCAAGTTTTGGTCCTGGGCCTATTTGCCCCCTTGAAATGAATTATGGTCAGATATTGCCACTTTTTGAAATTTATTTATGGCTCATACGGCCCACTATCCATTTGAGAAACAAGCGAATCATAGTAAGCCACGTCACTAACTGGGGGTTAATTTCGTCCTTTCGTAAAACACCAAAGGCAAGGATGTCTCGCCCCTTTCAAATCTTCTAAAGCCCAGAAGGACCTGGCGCGATTTTGCGAACTCCGTTTCGTTGCCTCCGATCGATCCCAATTCCCGCATGAAAAACCCAGACAAAATCTTTTGAAATTAACAGACCCATGGATCAGCAGAGCCGAGTTCTGTGTCCGGAGAACGAAGAATTAGCCAAGTACTTCGTGCAGAAGAGGCAGGAGTTAGCTGAGAAGCCAAAAGGGATACCGGAGAACACGGATAATACTCTCTCTAAGGCCTACTACAACATTTGCAATGCACAACATCCCATCAAGACCCTCAAAGAACTCAATGCCATCAAGTATGTCTTTTTCTTTTCCTTTTTTTTTTTCTTTTTTGTTCCCTGTCTGCTCGTTTGATTGTTCGTATGTTGGGGTTTTACTGGGGAATTTGAGGGAAAAGTTAAGAGTTCTTTGCTTCAAAGATTGCATTTTTATTGGTGGGTTGTTGGGTAGTCTGGTATTTTGGTGCAAGGAGAGTGAACAAAGAAGTTAATCCATCATAGTTTCGAGTTTCATGGTGAATGTGGGAATGGAAAGAATCATGGAATTTTTGGGATTTGGTTTGTTTCTCATCTGGAAACTGCAAGATGAAATTTAAAAAGGAAAGGAATCCATTTTGTTTGGCAATGTATAATTTTTTGTTGTTTCATTTGCCTTTCGAGATAATGTTGTTTACATTTTGTGTATAGGGGTGTGGGAAAATGGATTCTAAGTCTTATGAAAGGTTATTTTGAGAGTACTCAAAGTAGTTCAGGAAGTTCACAAGCAGAAGACTCAACAAAGAACGGTAAATGTAGTTTGTCATGTTTTGTATTCATTTTAACTTTTCATCCACTTCCAATATTGATTAATTTCCACCTTTATTCTCATTTTGCTATTAAAGATAAGAGAACTAAAGGAAAAAGACGATATTTGCCACAAAGGAACTCTGTTGCATATGCCTTGCTGATTACCCTATACAGGTAAAACCATATATCTCTCTGAATATGTTTTTTATAGCCAATTTGTCAACATAGTCTTGAAGCATTCACTGAATTTCTCGTTATTAGGGGCACGGCAGATGAAAATGAATTTATGCGTAAACAGGATCTAATTGATGCAGCTGAAGCAAGTGGACTTTCTAGGGCACCAATTATGTATGTTAACTGTTCTTATCAGTAGACAATAACTGAATTTGTTTATCAGAATTGCAAATTACTCTGGAAGTAAATTATCAATTCCAAGTTGGCTTTGTGCATTATTAGGCCAGAAAAGGGAAAAGGGAAGCCTAGCCAAGTTGGAAGTTCTCCCAGGGACTGGTATACTGGATGGAGCTGCATGTCAACATTGATAAATAAGGGATTAGTTGCAAAATGGAGTAATCCAGCAAAGTATGGCCCTTATTCTCTCATTTTTGTTATACTTTCATACTATGCATGGGAATTGCCTTTCACTTGTGGGGTAATTGACATTTTATTTGGTAGGGAATCTTGAGATGAACATAAAATGCTTGTAGAATATAGTTGTTATTCTATACATGAACATGCAAGCTGCTGTTTCTGCACAGATACAAATTGACAGAGGCAGGCAAGGAAGTTGCGCGTGAATGCATGTTGAGATCTAATTTGGCAAATTCCAGAACAAATTTGACTAATTTAGGGGCTTCTGATCTGCATAGAGATGATGTGTTGGATCTGGGGTGTGCTCAGCCTGATACTTGCAGAGAAGAAACAATTTCTTCTGCTGGCTTTAGCCAGAAGAGCTCAGTAGATGTCCCAGTTGAACTTCTTGAAAGGGTACCTTCCAGAAAGCTTTGAAAGTTCTTTCTTGTTTTTCCTGTTATATGTTTTTGGATAGGAACATGAGGATACTATCCTGCACACCCCTTCCTGAAATTATTGAAAAAAGAAAAAGACGATGGGTGAGGGGAAAAATGTTAGGCATCTGCCTTTATAAATAGTATTGACCTTAACCCACCTCTATGCTTTAAACTTCTCCAAAAGTGTGTGTTTCTAGTTGTCTCTTCAATTTTGAAGTAATTTTTCTTTCTCTGATAATGGGTTTTATTGTCCATTCTCCATGGTGATTTTATACCTTATTGCTGCCATGGATGCAATTTGCTGATATAATTATACTCTCCAATTAGAATGTCAATCTCTCTCTTCACTCATGGATACCTTTTTTGCTTATCTTTGGAACTTCCAATATTTTGACAATTTTTTTTTTTTTTTGATATTAATTTCCTCTTGTTACTCCTTGTGTACTTAGAGTTTCAAGCATTCACTTATTTCATTCTGCTTTCTTGTTCTGACCACTCTTTTGCTGATTTAGACTTCTTTTCTACAGTTTATGCCCATGGGTTACTCTAAGGAACAAGTTCTTCATGCATTTTCTGAAGTTTCAGAAACTTCCCAGGATAGAGAGTTCTCTTCACTATGGCCTGCAGTCATGTGTCACCTTCGAGAAGATCGAGTTTATGGTTTGCATTCATATTTTTAAATTTCAAGATAGGAATTCCTGTTTGTTTGAGCATTGATTAATGAAACCATGATAAGTTATTCTCTCTTATTGAACAATATGGGACCCTTTTTTGATATTAGTCAATGCTCAGGTGGAGAAAATCCTGCTTCAAATCATAGTGATTTGGTGGATTTAACTTGTGATGGTGGACACAATCCAGGCTTCAGTTCTCTTCCAAGTTTGTTTACCTTGAGGGCTTGCTCTTTAACTGTATGTTTGTGTTTTCTTCCTTGAATCTTGATAGATTGTGATTTTACCTTTCACATTGGGATATCTTTTTGCATCAGCATTGTTTGTTTGTTCAAAAATCTAAATGGCTAACTACTTGCATGTATTTTTGTTGACCTTATAAATTATTCTTAAAAAATGTTGTCCTTACTTTCTTAGGATTGCATTGCTGAAAAGTCTATTACAAATGGTTTGGAAGCAAGTATGAATGTTTTAAGTTTGCCACCTCTGAGCTTGGGGGAGAGATTTGAGGATATATACGAAGTAATCTTAATATTAGATGACAGAGAGCAGTTTAGCAACCAAAGGTTAGCAAATTTTAGATTTTTCTTTCTCTTGCAGGCTTTTCCACTATCAGGAAGTAAGTTGAGGACATGTTTTCACTGTCTTAACCTCCTCTTTTTTTTTTTTCAGATTAAGTCATAAAATGGGTTGTTACACCTCACTAGTGATAACTGACAATATTTATAAATCTTGTGGTAATAGGTCAAGGAACAGGAGGGTTGTTGAGAGTATATGCTCAGACTTCAAAATCAAAACAGAAGTAAGATCTTAAGTCCTCTCCCACTTATTATTATTTTTTTAAAAATCAACTTGTAAGCACGTGATCAAGCTGGCACTAAACATATGGTCTTAACTTTTTGTTAGATGCTGGAATGTCTGTAGGAACTATTGCATCTTACCATGCTAAGGACCAGAACTGCAACTCAAAATCCCAATCTATGCAAGAAAAAATAGTAAAAAGGAAAATAAGAAAAGCCTAGGCTGATAAAATCTGAAGATTTGTTTTTAAATATACTGCTTTTCAATTATACCGCTTTCAATTTATGATTCAATACACGTTATTCTGATGAGCACAAGTTTCATTAATTTTGATAAACTGCTTCTTGCATTTAACTTGTCAATTTTTGGGCCCATAAGTTGTAAAGGGGTAGGCTGATATATTTGATAATTATTTTTCTCCAGTTTAGGCGACTACCTATTGGAGATGGAATCTGGATAGTGCGGCATAAGGTTCTTCACAGTGAATATGTTCTAGATTTTATTGTTGAAAGGAAGAATATTGATGACTTACGCTCTTCAATACGGGACAATCGCTATAAGGATCAGAAATTACGGCTTCTGGTAACTACGCATAATAAACTCTGCTTTTACTACCCTTTATTGACATGCTTTTTACCGGACCATTTTAAGTTGCTTTCACTTTTTGTAAGAGATCTGGACTTAAGAAGCCAATATATCTTGTGGAAGGTGATCCAAATAGATCGGAAGTTGCTGAAAGTATCAAAACAGCGTAAGCATTTTTCTATGTACTTGTAGTTGGTCACATTCTTCTTACTAGATTATATCTCTTTTATTTGCCAAAGGAACATTTGATATTGTTTGATTTTGATATTGAATTGTGCATGCCCTTTTCATACATGTCTTTCTATTTATATTTTTTTCAAGATATTTTTTTTATATTATTATTTGAATATTTATAAACAAATATGACAGTCTAGTCAAAAGTCACATTTTACCTTACAAATCTGGCCTGCAAATACTTGAGATTAGTTTTCAGTTTTTGTTCTCTGTTCATGCCAGTATCACCATCTCCCTCCATTTTTTTCTTTCATGGCTAGTGATTGAGAAGGCTTGTACATTGTGCAGATGTTTCACAACAGAGATACTGGAAGGTTTTGATGTGCAGAGAACTATTAATTTACCTGATACCATAAAGAAGTACAGCCATCTTACTAGAGCAATAACTCATTACTATAAATCATACCTCCCTGAGGACCCCTCTAGATGCCCTGGAGTCTGTCCTCTCTATAACGAATTCATCAAAAGGTGCCAAGAGCTGGACAAAATTACAGTCAGTGATGTATTTGCCATTCAGCTTATGCAGGTGAGATTGTACTTACAATAAGGGAAGGTCACTTGTGTGGTGCAATGGCAGTTTTGTGCCCTAATTATACATGGGAACTTGTATAGCAATGGTTCTGTGCTATCAATTTATCAGCGAACATGTATTAGGGACATATTTGTTTGATATATGTGAAGAACTTAATATTTTTCACTTCTTCAACAATCAAGTGATTTCACATCTTTTCTATTCAGGTACCACAGGTAACAGAGGATATTGCTCTAGCTGTTGTGGATATGTACCCGACACTTCTATCTCTAGCCCGTGCCTACTCCCTTCTTGTGAGTTCTTTTTCTCTAGACCTGAACTTATTCTAAAATAGCATAGTGGAATCTGTCTCCAATTGCATTTCCATTTTAACTCGGAACCAATTTTTTTTGGTCTAAAAAGGATGGTGATGTTGGTGCACAAGAAGAGATGCTCAAGAAGCTAAGTAACAACGTGGTCAGTTCTGCTGCAAGTAAGAACATCTTCAAGTTTGTTTGGGGTGATTGAGAATTGCATTTTTTCTTGTAATGTAAACAAAACCTTGATTTTGTGCAAAGCACAACCTTTTTGCTTATGTAATTGTTGCTTTTAGTTACAGAATGTAAAGAAGATCGATTATATGAATGTAGCAGGTACAAATGCAAACTTTGTAAACATTTTTCTTTGTGGCTGAACTGAAGAACTCTAAAAGCATCTCAATGCTTAAAAATTAGTAAAAAGTGAACAAATGCTTCGCTCTGTCAATGTGTACAACACGACTCTGCACTTAATAACTTTTTGTGCATTAGATGACAATGGATTATGCAATATAGCATAGCTTGTACACGTCTGGACTTCACCGTCTTGCGTATTAATTCAGATCTTCTCTTTTAAATGTGGCCTTCATTGTCCTGGTTTGGAAAGCTGAAGTACCTAATTGTGAGAAAGTTGTTAGTTTAGGTTGTACTTATTCAAAGATGAAAATCAATTGGCGGAAAAGGACAAGCAAAAGAAAAAACAAAAACTGGAAAAAAAAAAAAAAAAAACAAAGAGTTTACTCTTATTCTCTTCTTTTGGTTTAAAAAAATTACATTATATTTTGATTAATTTAAAATTAAATGACATCAAATTTTTTATATTAATAAATTGTTACTAAAAACTAAGTAGTGTCGTAAAAAGCGGACCTAAGCTCTATAAGGTGTAATTCTACTAGGAATGGCAATTTGGCTCGATCCCTGTGAGGTCCCGTGGGGATCCCGTCATTGAGACGGAATGAGAAAGAATATTTCTTTTCGCGGGGCAGAGACGTAAAGTATTTTTTTCCTTGTGAAAATTTACGAGAAATTTTTCTCACCCTGCGGGGCCATGTGGGGATTCCTATTCTCGTGAAAAATTAAAAAATATATATAAATTAGTTTTATTTTAAATTTAATTTAACTTTCAAATCTAAATCTAATTCAATAAAATCTAAATTTTATCTAATTTTATCTAACCTATTATTAATCTTTTAGTTATTTATGTTAAATTGATCTTTACTTATGTTTGGATAATTTATATTTAAAGAATTTTAATTAATTATACTTGAATTTTTAAAATTTTATTTATTATAATTAAATATTACTTAATTATATATAAAAATTTTATTTTTTTATATTAATTTGTAGGGAATAGGGATCTCGAGGGAAATGAGGTTAGAGGGCAAAATTTGCCCCCTGTTAAAAATTCCCGTGGGGATTCCGATCCCGTGAATGGAAAGAGACTCTCCAACCCCGCTGGACCCCGTTGACATTCCTAAATTCTACCTGCATCAACTTTTAGATAAAAATTTAATGTAGTTTATATCATTTAGATCAATTAAGCACATCTAAGCACTATTAAATGTGCTCAATGGTGCCTAAAGTGACTGAATAAATTCTTTTTTAATAATTTTTTTAACTTAATAAAATAATGTCATTTAATTTATTATAAAAATTATATTAAAAATATTAAATGTCAAGTAATTCCTCTAAATTATGCTCTTTAGACATGATAATGAATAGAAAAATATTCAATTTTTTTTATTTATTTTATAATTTTTAAAATTACTTTACATTTTTTTCTTAAAATTATATCAAAAAATTGTTTTCAAAAATCACCTAGGCAACCTAAGCACTGCCTATGCATTCTAAGCTCTAAGCTGTGGGCGGGCAATCGCTTACGCTTAACACTTTCTACAACCTTGAAGTTGATTAATTTATAATTTATATATAAACAATAAAACAAGAATTATTAGGAATTAATATCCGAAAATAATATTAGTTCTTATATAAAAAAATTCTTAACCTTTATTTCTCTATTAATAAGGATTGAATTCAAGATTTTATTTAAAGAAATTAAATTTATTTCATTTAAACCAATAAATTATTGGTAAAATTATTAGCAATTATTAAATGAAAGAGATGCTAATATTAAGGGCCTGCCTCCTTTAATGGTTAAAGTTAGCTAATATAGAATGGTTCGGACTGAAGAATAATTTTCCGGAAAATAAAAAGAGAGATTATTTTGACAGGTCACCGGCAACCGTCACAGAAGGCCAGAGCACGCTTTAAACCCTAAAAACCACTCCTTTCATAAGAACTCGCCGACGGGATCGAAGGTAGTAATGGAGCCACTGTTAGGTTTTGAAGATGCAGCGGCAGCTACTGATGGTGAGGAGATTTCTTCCTCGTCTTCATCAAACGGTTACAAATTGGTCCCATGGTTGAGCTGGGACGAGTGGGAGGATGTCAGAAAATCACTCTTCTCGACTTCGCCGGACAAGATTGCCTTTGCTCTTAACAGGGTAAATACTCTAATACCCATATCAAGACAATCTCTTATGTTTCTTCTTAGATATTTGTTTTTGTTGCAATTGAAGAGCTTAATTTTAGTTTGGGACCCAATTTTTCTGGGTTTCAGATTTCAACCTGGCGAAGCAGAGGATGTCTGCCAGTAGTTATCGATGTCACTGCTTCAATCATTGAAATTCAGCAGAAAGATCCATTTTTTCGGTAATTGGTTTGTTCCCTGTGTTTAACAGATTTTCTGTTTCCGATTTTGATTTTGGGTTTCATCTGATGGAAGTCATATATACTTGTAGAGGTGAGGGACAGAAAGATGATTTATATTCAGAACAAATGCTAGCCATGCTGTATTGCATGGCAATCCTTAGGTGAGCTTATCTTGTTCCTGCTACATTACATGGATATGGGTGCTGAATTGAGTGGCGCAAAGAAAAGAATTCTGTACTTTATAGAATTATGTGTGCAGGCTTGTGAACTGTGTTGTTGAGAAGACACGTAAGCAAAGGGAGATTTCAATTGCTGATGCTGCAGAAGCTATTGGTATTCCGCGGATCCTTATTGATGTTCGTCATGGTATGTAGCTTTGTAATTTGTGTTTCCCATTATTTGCTTGTCAGTTTTCTCTGTGGCATTCAGTGTCCTAAATCATCAAACACCTCATCTTCATTTCACTTCTTGAATGCTGTACTTTGACTATGAGGACTAAATTCTATTTATATTCCATATATGGAGTGTAAGTTATTCCTTTTCTTTTTCACCTTGTTATTTGATTCTTGATGTTGTTGGATTGCAGAGGGTTCTCACCGTGACCTCCCAGCACTTGTGGTAGTTCGGGATTCGTCCATTATGGTATGTTCTTATTTAAATGTCCTAGCTATTAGCAATCAATACAATAGAATGCTATAATTTTTCTTGTATCACAACTCACATGAAATATTTTTCATGATTATTAAACAAGTAGTAAAATGCTTAGGTTTTGATCAAATAAGGTTCTCTGGTTGAATAAAACCTAAAATTTGTTCCCTTTGTAACTACTTATGAGACATCTCACAAGCTACTCACTAAATCACTATTTTCTTCTCATGTACACAAAAATATTCATGTGTAACTGTTTATATTTCAGGCTCTGAATTGGTTGAAATCATATTACTGGGAGCCTCAGAGGAAGCAAATCCCATTTCAAAAGGATGAAACTTCTAATATCAGAAGGGAGATCAAATCAAAAGTCCGTGAACTAGCTTTCTGCTTGAAAGTTAACCAAAGTCCTGAACTTCGTTCTTTGCTAGGCAAAGAAAAACGTGAGTGTGAAACTCCAGTTGCTCTTTAATAGTTGAGTAAAGGTGCATATGGGTTATCTTTCTTTTTGCTTTTAGTTATTATAATGTCAGTAATATCATAGATTTAAGTATTACTGCAACTGATCTAAATAGCAGTTGAACTCTTTCTATGGGATTTGCATACATTATTCCATTACCCTGCTTGGTTTTTGAGAAACCAGCATAGTTTTTCTTGTTAGTTTGGCCAAAAAAAAAAAAAAAGAGCAAAAGAAGGAAAGAAACTGGAATAGTTTTCATGATACCTGAGGCCACATAGGATGTTCACTGATGTCCTGTTCTAGCAGCATGGTCTGAGAGCATTCTTGTGTTTTTCCACACATGACATGATGGTTTACTACTGTAGGGGAGAATGCACTAATGTGGCATTAAATTTTTACTTTTCATTAACATGATTTGATTTTGTAAAATCCTATATTTGTTACTTACCCAATAATTTCGTCAGAGGGGAAACAGTGCTTTCATATTTTCTACATATTTTAGGACTTTGCTGTCTTATAGGCTTTAATATTTTATTATAGGAAGCAGACATCATGCACACCATTGTGGACGTAATAAAATTTTCTCATTTATGGCTGGCAAGGTCCATTCATCCAAATTAGGAGGTAATATCATCTACTCTTATTATTTGTTTCTGCCAGTATGAAGATAAGTGGTAATACCATCATTATTACTCTGTAAGATTTAATTAAATTATGAGCCTTTGTATGGCCTCTTTGGAAGGGACTTATCTGAGTAATTGCTTTGTTCATGTGGGATGGGTGGAGTGGTGGAGTGCACAGGCATATCAATTACTCAGATCAGATGCTTGAAGATCCCAAGACATTTAGGGTAGATTACTAGCTATTAACATGTGCTCTTAAATTCAGTTCATTAATTTCAAAACAAAAGGCTGGAACCATGTTTCCTCTTAAAATGGTATTGATTTAGTCAAGTCACTGGTTGACCTTGGTAGAAAGTGGATGACTTCTGAGACCATGTTAGTTTTTTAGATTTTCTTTCTCATTATATGCTTTTGTTTATTGTTGAAACTTATTTTCTTCCCAAAAATGTTTCTAAGGTATCTCAATGGGATGTCCAATGTTGGTTTTCTCTTACTTTCTGGTTCTGGTAAATTTTTGAGTGTTGAATGATTTGAGGTAAAGACATTCATACTCACAAAAGAGTAGCTGCTAACAATATATATTTGTTGGGCATTCTCATTTTCTCAGGTTCTAAGAAACAGATTAGTAAGACCCTGAAAACTCTTGCAAGTCTATATGCTTCATTCTCCTCAGAATTAGTATCTGTATTGTTGGAATTCTTGCTAAAGGCTTTAGATTCCTCAAATGTGATGAACCTTCCAAAAGATTCCCAGGCGTGCCAAGATCTGCATACTTTGTTGGATGATTGGAAGCTTGTAATAACAAAGTTTTCAAGCAAGGAACCAGAATTAATTCTGGCCCTTCTACAGAGAATTCTTGATATTGTCGGGACTAAGGAGGACACAAAATATGGGATGGGTAAGTATCCACTCTACTTTGTTTTAACCTAGCTTTTCTCTTTTCTTGTACTTCTGTTTTTAGGACAGCTGTGTAGCTAGCTTGTGGGAAGCATATTTTTACAATTAAGAGATTCTTTATGTAGTACTTTCATTCAAGATTCAGGGTGTCTTTAAAATTGTCTTCGTGGGATGTTAGATTTTGGCTTTTATCCACAAAATATGTTGGAAGATAATGCAAGAGGAATAACATATGTATCTGCTCTATCAGTTTAGGTCTATTTTTTTGGTCATTTGATGTGGAATATATGTGGTTCTGCATGGTTTATTCTATCTTCAGTTGATAAGTTTGAATAAGATAATCTAGTGTCACATTAACCACTTTTGATCCCTTTTTTAATCTTGTTTTAGGAGAAGACGTCATGTTGTCTGAAAATAGATCAGAGATTTCCAATGTAGAGCGCCTTTCTTATTTGTTTGCATGGCTTGTTGGATATTTGAAGGAATTAAAACCTCTTAACTCGAAAGACAGTTCTGGAAAAAACCTATCAAAGGTGTTGATAGAACTCCTGCGAAAATCACTCTTAGTGTCAGCTTCAGGTAACAGCCATATTATGCATTCGGCACTTCAGCTCGTGCAGCTCTTAGGAGACAGCTTTTTGATGAAGAAACTCAATAAGCTCTGTTTGTTAAGTTTGTTGGGCACAGATGTTAGTGAAGGTAGCTCTTTGTTAATGAGTTACGAGAACCTAAGCCAGGAGGAGGAATCCATTTCTCAGGCATCTAAGAAGCTAGAGTTGATTAAACTTCAGAGAATGAGGAATAAAGCTGAGGAGACAAAGGTTGAAAATGTGGGAAACCCTCAGAGATGGGTTGTGGCAAAATCTTGGAACCCCTGTCCCATTGGTATGTTGCCTCGAGTGCTTGGGTCTTCTGGCTATCTTCCTGTTCTTGACTGTGATGATGGCTCTGAAGTTTTGAGATCATCAGAAGAGAAGAACTGGGAACTTAACCAATGTGGCTGCAAGAGGAAAGCTAGTCCTGACATCCAGGTGTTAGATAACTCTAGTCCTAAGAAAGCAAGAGAAACAACAGAAGAAAACCATGAATCAGATGGTGGAGATGTGCCTTCACCTGGCGTTGGGGGCCGTTTATTAATAGATACGGTCTGGAAGCAAGTAAGGGAAGAAGAGCTACAAGCCAGGAAGTCTGCTGTAAGGATTTTGATATAGTCGCCTTCACCTGGTACTGCATTTTATTGAATCTCTTTTTATTCAGTGTATTTATTTATTTATTTATCCTCTTTTTTTTTAAAATCCAAATCGTCCATTTTAACACATTATATACAGGCTTCTTCTATTATCATACAAAACATTTAGATGCACATGAAATTTCTGTTTTAATATGAACGGAGGATATTTACATTTGGAACTCGATTATCTACAGAAAAATCTAAACGTAGATGCTATTAAAGCTACGTACATTTACATCTTACCCCTGCTGCATGCTGCATCCTCCTGTCTGGATTGTATGGTGAAGCAAAGCCCTGCAGACGCAACCTGAAGAAGACATCAAAAAACACCAAAGAAGACCTGAAGTATACCGTTGGTACGCTCACATGTGGTCTAAGGTCGTTCCTGCAGGGCTATTCCACCCTAAACTTAGATGATGTTAAAGCCACTTACATCTAAATTGTGTCCCTGCTTGATGCTCTAGCCCCTTGTCCAGATTTTCTGG